ATTATGGTCACTATTATCGATAAAAGAACCAAAACTGCTTGGATTTCGAACTTTTTCAATCCGAAATTCGGTAAAAGAATCGAAATCGGAACCGAAATCAAAAATTGGGTACAACCTCAACTGTGAAAATGAAATTTCGGTCCGAGTCCTTATCTCCGTGTCCAGATCTAATGATATCAAGTTGCTCCTTGCCTTAATGAAGTGGATTGCAAGGTTCAAATGTCAACGAAACGTCGGTCAACGAAACATTGGCATTTCCTTTCCTCAAAACTTAAATTCATATAAATGGAAATGTATATATGTACATAGAGAAAAAAAAGAGGCAGGGGTATAGCGAGTAGTAGATATTAAGTTTATAGTAGATATAAAGAAAAACTGAGCAGAGGAATCGAACCTGATAAAAATAAGAAAGGAGTGGTAATGTCGACTATAAGTATAGGGGAGAAGGTTGTAATAATATCAATATATAATAGGGGAAGCTAGAAAAATTTAGAAGAAAAGTTAGAAAGAATGCTAAGGGACATGGAAAATGAGGAAATAGTAATAGATGGAGATATTAATGTAAGAACAGGCGAACTAGTGTTAAGTGGAAAGAAGAAGAAATAGAAAAGAGAAGACAAAATTATAAGAAACGGAGGCAAAAAGTGGTAGATTGGACACAGAGAAAAGGTTGATACATTTTAAACGAATCGACGAAAGGAGATTGGGACGGGGAATATATTTATACAGATTATAAGGATAGTACGGTTATTGATTATGTGATCGCAAATAAGAGAAAACTTAAGAGAATTTGCGATAAGAGACAGGGTGGACTCGTATCATGCTATTGCTTAGTAGGAAAGGAGAAGAGGAGAGGCAGAAGACAAAGAAAGAGGAAAAAAAACAAGGAGACAGGAACAGGAACCATAATAGAATATCAAAAAAAGAAATCTTAACTGGCGAAGCAGATCAAAAAGGAGTTATAATAGAGAAAAAATGGTAAAGAATCAAGAAAATTGTACATGAAGCGATCGTCAAGAGGAAGGTAAAAAGCAAAAAATTCGAACTGGGACACAAGGATTGATGGGAAGTTATATCGGAAAAAAAAGGGAAATAGAGAATTTATAGGAGATGGAGACTAGGAAAAATAGATAGGAGAGAATACATGGAAGAAAGAAAGAAATTTAAGGAGCTGAAGGAGAAGAAGCAAAAAGAAAAGAGAAAAGAAGAGAAACAGAATTGAGAGGTTTGAAGAGAGAGATGGATGTATGGAAATTTATAAACAAAAAAAGAGGCAAGAGAATATGGAGAGATAATAACATTGAGACAGAAGAATGGAGGCAACATTTTATGAATCTTCTTCTAAGCGATGGTACATCTATTGAAGTGGATGGACAAGAAAAGGAGGAAATGGATGTACAGAAAAAAGAGAAAAGGAAGCAAGAGAAGAAGGACAGGAGATGGAAGAATTGAAAGAGAAAGAAATTAGGGAGGCAAAAAAGATGAACAAAAAGACCGTGGGTATAGATGGAATCCCGATGGAAGTGTAGAAATATGCGGAAGATATGTTATGAACGGACATGATAGAAGTATTGGGACAAGTTTGAAGATAAGGAGAGATACCTGAAGATTGGAGGCAAAATATTATTGTGCCATTATATAAAAATGAAGATACAGAATTAGTAGGAAATTATATAGTGATATCGTTATTGTGTAGAGCGTACAAATGGTATGCAGAGATTCTAAGAATTAAATTGGAAGAGGTAGGGAAGAAAAACATAATTCCGAAGACGCAAACAGGATTTAAAAAAGGCAGGTCGACAATGGATGGAACATATTCGTACTGAATTATCTGATTCAAAAGAACAAGCAGACAGAAAGTAGGGAGAGGAAAGTATATGTTCTCTTTGTGGATCTGAAGGCAGCTTTCGATAGAGTGTATAGAGATACTTGGAGTTACTAAGGGGATATGGAATCAAGGAGCAGCTGATAAGGAGAGTATATATATATATATATATATGT